TTGCCAGTATGTTGTATAACTAGTAACACCAGCCCTACCTTGCCACTATCATGAATCACTTCACTTTTAAAAAGCAAGATGGCTGCCATCAAAAGCAGGCTGGATTCAAATAGGTGTTCTTGCTGCAAGGACAGTTAATGGCAAAGCTCCCAATACCTTCAGTAGGACGAGGCCTCCAATTTTTAGTTCTTCTCCATTATTCTGATGGTATACCTATCATTTAGTTCTTCCAAAAGATGAGTCCTACCTCAGCCCCAAGATAGTGAGATTGATGCAGGAATCACTGGATAGAAATTCCTTGTTTTTGCTTTATGCAGGAAGTGAAGAGAGATGATCAAGTGTCCCTTCACATGTTTTTATTCATAATATGAATGTGCTTCTTAGTTTTCAAACTCTCATACTTCCAAGCTGAATCACATGCAATCAAGTGGGAGCACAAATGCAAAGAAGTAGAAAGGATTGCATTTGGTTGGGAGCTGCTTGGCTTACTAAAGGTTGTTTGAATTCATTGGCTTGGTTTGTTCCTCTCAAAGTAGTTTCCCAAAGAATCGACTGTGAAATCCATGTACTATGCACTTCAGGGATTTCAGGGAAACAACAGCGGATGATATTATATAAAAGATGTTGGTCTTCAGTTGCTCATAGAAAACACAACACAGGGTGAGATGCTACAGCGCAACAGGAATGAGCTACTCTGTCATAGCTTGTTACTCCTGCACAGTGGTGTTGGGAAAAAACAGTGCGGTGACAGTACTGCATAGTAACGCTGGTTACTGAACAGTCATTTAGTACTTGCTTAGTGTGACACTGTTCTGTTCCTTTGTTCCAGTGGCCAGACTGTGGCTCATCTCTTAGAGGATTTATTCATTTGTTGCAAAGATTCCTAGTAGATAGTTGTCTGTAGAGCCACACTGTAACTCAAAGCCCTGTTAAAGGAACTAATCAGCAGCCAGACAGCTCGCACTTTCCTCATTGTACTAGCAGCTTTCATTCCAAATGCTGAAGTTACCTTCATGCAGATTTTTAAAGGCCACTGTTTATGCATGTAAATTCTAAAGGGCATTAGCAGTACGGCTGACACACATTGACAGCAAGCACATCTCCAGGAATGGAATACGCAGCAATGACTGCCTGAATAATTGATGTACTTTTATTCTGCCCCATGGCCGGTTATTACATTGTTCACTCTCTTCAACTGCCTGTGGTTTCTAAATTAATTAGAAATCTGCCAGCTAAAAAAAAAAAAAAGATACTGAATACAAAAGAAGATACGAGTAGTGATGTCTATTAATGCCCTTGAGCCCTAGAGAATCTCTTACTTTGACCTGGTCACATGGAGGCTGAAGCACAGCCCAGTCTCTAGAATCCAGTATTTTTGAGTAATCCTAGCTTCTGATACTGACTGCAGAAGAAAAGATAGAATAGATCATTATGATAAGTGAAAACCTTCCCACCTCTAGAAAGCCCTAAGTTGTTTAATATGGGGGGAGAATCAGACCCGCACTCTTTCTCTTGGCAGTTAAGAAAAAAATCTTGTCCCGCAAGAACACACACACACACACACACACACACACACACACACACACACACCAGCTGGGATTTACTCAACATGATAGAGAACAATGTAAATATACAAAACACACTTAAACCTGCATTGCTCTAACCTAGTCCCATACTGCTCAAAATGAAAGAAATGCTGTTAAGTCAGACCTATCCCTATGGTTTATCCAGCTAAATGACTCTCCAGAAACCATTTCACAGCTGAAATGAACTGCCTGTTGCCTCTCCTGCACACCGAGAATGAGAGAGGCTGAGAAATGTTATACTGTGATCAAATATACAGATATGAATATAAAATACCAATAACCATTTTTTGCACCTTGCATGGCCTTATTGACTTGCAATACAACCTATACTTAAACTTTAAAACAATAGTGTTTATAGCTTTTAAGAAACCTACTGGGAATAATTGAGCAGTTTGAACCACATCCCATTAAAGTATACAAGATTTCTTTCTATGTCCTTGGAAAGTATTTAACCGTGATGTGGTATTTTTAGCTTCCTACTTTATTTAAGAACAGACATATTTTTAAATGTGCTTTACACAAACTACAGGTATTTCAAAAGCATAAATAAACACAAACTAATGGTTTCACTGAAATTATTTTAAACTGTTCAGCTAAAATCGGGAACTAATATATCACTTTCCCATAAAAGAGCACCAAGCAATCTACATATCAAGTAATATACAACAGTGTATGCATAGTCTATCTCTTTGCCAACATATAGTTTGTCATTGTAACCTTCAGGGTATCTGGAAAAAATCCTACTGGGCCCATTAATACCTTTCTATTTGACTCCTTTTTAAATGTAATGCATTGAATGATTTTTAGGAGGACTGGATTTTGAGTCTCCTTTTTTTGTATGCACAATGTATCTTATGTTCAGAACAATGAATGTTCAAGTTGTAACTTACAGATATCCCAAATCACCATTCATAGATAACATATCACAAAATCATCATTCCAGGTGTAGGG